CTATTTATTTATTATTTCCCTATTACTATTTAAAGCCTGCTTTATCATCTCGAATTTATATCCCTTTCTTCATACTGAAAGTTAAACAAGAAATCATTTTTATACGATACTAGACGACAGTTAGCGCAAAATTTAGCCCACATATTTACGTAAGTACATATACATATGTGTGGGATCGATATCTGAAATATGTCGTTGATATTAACATATTCTCTCTAAGCATAGTTAAAAAGCTTGTATCATATATGGTACTTTGACCCACATTTCTAAATAACTTTCCCTTTTTTTCTAGCCATTAGCATTTTTCACAACAATACTTATTGGCCCATGTAACTTGATAAAAATATGTCATTATATCTAACTGTGCTTTGTTTCTTGGACCCCGAAGCATAGGCCTAAATATGTATTCTTATCTTATCACGCATTAAGGCATTCCAAATATCATTTTAATATCATAAAATGTCTATACAGGCTCATCATCTCTCTTTATTATTGCCATTCTTAGTCTACTACTAGTCTGACAGGCTTTTTAAAAACTCATGCTAGATTGTTCAGACTGATTACGGTTTTTCTTCTATGATATCACTGACACAACACAATTATTGCGGAGTTTTGGATTTATTTTATTTTATCAGCTAATTCTGGTCTGTTTATGTTCGCCTTAGTTTAATAAAGGTTATAACAAGAAATTCCATCTTGATGAACATCTTAATCTGAAGTCGTCTATTTTTAATTCTCATCTTGCAGCTTGGCATCCTCAGCTTTATACACAACAGCCATTACCACCATGCACACAAACTATTGCCGAGCATTGTTGTTCTGATCCAGGCCTCCACAGTCTCTTCAGCCACTCACATTTGGGTCAACTCCTGCATGATCTAGCTACTTTGTGGCCGCTGGCCCCGGTATTCGCACGATCATATCTCCGACGCAGCCTAATTGAGCTACCACTTCAAGTGACCGGGTCTACTGGCAAAGCGATTACAATACCGCCGAACCAAGTTTTTCAACATCTGGTTTCTCGGCACCATGCCTACGGTATTCAGGTAAGAAAAAAACTGTGGGTTTATTTATTTTCATAGGTAATTTTAAGTTAAAATTTATGTTATATTTTTATACAATGACTCGTCATAGGCTGTTTTTAGTTTCTAAGCCCTAATAGTTGAAGTTCCCTTAAATAACGGAGATAACGACTTACCTTGTTCATGTAATTCTCTGCATTATAGTATATAGATATTTAGCCCTAATTTTTATATTTATCTTATCTTGTTTTAGTATAATTAATTGGTTCTCGATTTACTTAGTAGATCATATTTTATAGAATATGGTGAAC